TTTGTCAAGTTATGGTAAAATGAAGTGTAGGCTTGGCCCATGGCGGTTGGTTATGGAAGCGAAGGCGAATAAAAGGAACGCAAGTGTAGCTGTCGTCGCGGTATTCCGAGATTCATCGGGAGCAGGTACAGGGGCAGCACCAGGATATCGGTTTCTCAATCTATACCATGGTAAGGCCATTCAGCTCTCGTCAGAGACACAAGTGAACGAACAATCTTCGACCATTTATCGGTTGGCTGGCTGTTTTCGTGTGACCAGTCCTTGGTATCCGGTGAACGGTCCATGCTCCAAAGTAGGCCTTGTACGAGTACGGCTGTCCACCGCACGAAGGCTGTCCACAGAATCGCGCGTACATTTCTTTTTCACCGTGTGGATATCAAGTTCCCTAACCTCTGCGAGTCACTTTCGACGGCTCTAGACTTCTTTCGTCATTTTCTACGCGGGCTTCTCCATTTTGACTGCCAGAACTTTCGGTATGCGGGAAAATATCCTAGTGATTTTACCAACATACTGGATTTTGGAACTGCGTGACCAGGAGCGAGGCTAAGCAAGAAAGGCCTATAGATTTACTTATCGGGTTACTTACATGCTACACATCATATCAGTGCGAAGAATTTTTTGTTTTCGTTTTGTATTTTAGAAGAAACGCAAGTAGAAACATGTTGAATAATATTGTTATGAACAGGTGGAAAAACAAAGGCTTTGAACAGGGATAAGCAGTATTTCAAATACAAGTATTTGAAATAGTATTTCAAATACTTCGTGTATTTTGCATTTGTATTTAATTACAAATTGGGTAATGTATTTGACGTGTGTAATTAAATACTAAGACGTGGGTATTTCAAATACAATTGTAATTAAATACAATTTTGTGGGCGAAAATACATCCCTCAAATGTATTGTCACTGTCCAGAGCAGGAAGAAAACTACGTTCTACACCGAATGCACTGTCTCTCAATCAAGCAGAAGCGTTCAGTGACTTTGATTACGGTGCTAGTCCAGGGCAAGAATTGTGACGAAATCGACGCTCACAGGCAGACTGGCTAAATAAGTGCCTGTGACAACTTGTGATGCTTTCCAGCCTGATTTCCATCCATATTTTTGCCTGGAACATTCTAAATGCGCGAGTCGTCCAGATTCTCGTAACTGGTGCGAGTTGCAACAATAAAAAATTGCCTAGCTAGTGCTGCACGTCTTGTTCGTCTCGGTTCTTTGCTGGTCTATACCAAAATGTAATCGACAAAAAAAGCTGCTTGAAGCTCTGTACTTTTTTCACCGGTTACGTCCAAGCTGATTACTGTTTTTTTGTGATTATATTTCTATTACGTTACTAGGGCCCCGCACACTAGCTCCCGAGTGTGCGATGCAAAATTAAAACAAGATACCCAGAAACCCGTTGCAGGTGCCCTGTCACTGACGCAAATTTTGAGGAATGTATTTGGAAAAGTATTTGGAGGAGGCCAAATACATTTGGTTGTATTTGTATCTTGTACTTAGACGCTTTTTTGGAAATATAATTAGATTTGTAATTAAATACATTTTTGAAGAAGTACTTTCTATTTGTATTTCGATACATATTTGCATGTATTTTGCCCATCCCTGGCTTTGAATATCCCATTGCCTGTTCAGCGTTTATAGGTATATATATCTTAATGTTAACCTCTTGTCGGTTCTTCCTATGTAGTTGGAATTAACATTGAACTAAGGTATGCATTGTCATATATCTAACGATCTACGAGGCACCGCCAAGGAAGTAAAGGAAGGCTCATGTTCCACATATAAGTGCTTCACTTCGCTGAAAGCACTTGCGTTCAAATCACTTGATTGGACGCTGACAAGGTATTTATGCTCGCTGAGGTATTTATTTGAACTTGACCTATAAGAGCCCAACTACCCAGAAGACAACTTACGACTCGAAATTCCTTTTCTTTTCGCCCGAATACAGCCGGTCGAGAATTGGCCGGTTTCAGACGTGCTCACTCTCCTTTTCATGGTCGCATGGCGTTCAAACTGTGTGCGCCAAATATATTCATAGTCGAGGGTCATCTAAAGCACACATTCAATATTAAAAGTAGAAAAAAATATGAACCCCATTTTTGTTGCCTCCAGGAAGCTGTACATACGTTGATAAAAAAAAAAAAGAACAGTGTTGCACAGATTATGGAAGTACTGTACAAGTACACGTCATTCTCAATATGGCGACGTACAGGGGGCTGGACGATGCGATGGCGGCGCACGACCTACCGACGTTGCAATGGAAGTGAGACAACCACTTCGGAACTGTCGTTTGTGGTAGCGGTCAATCGATCTTCATTTTACATTTTCTAGGCGAGAGCTAAAATTAATCAGAATAAAATATGTCTCTCTACCTGCAACTGGTTTAAACCAATTAAAAAGAAATAGGACCTAATATGACCAAAAAGAAATTTTTGATTTAAAAGCCAATCAACAAGGAAAAACAGGGAGGCAGCGAAACTGCTAGATCGGGTACGGGCTTGTATTTTATCAGCGGGCTTCTTTTCGAGTGTAAAATCAAGGTAATGAAGGCGTATTTCAAAACATTGTCCATTCAGTTCCGTGCCTCTTGGTCTTGTGTTTTGGTTGAGACGACGACAAGGTTTCTTCATTGGTTCCTTTTGCTGGGGTTTTAATTTTATTTTACAATCTGGAAATATAAATGAAGACAAATATGTATTATTGGGTTTATTAAAGTATAGATGTTTTTTTTATTACTTTAGGTTTAATCTAAATTATTGTTCCAAATTGTTGTTTTTTTCGTGTTCTAGAGCTAAATTTACGTCAGGATGGATTTGAATATTTTCCACCCGTTATTTTGTATCCATAGGGTTTTACGGTCCGCTCAGTGATAGTGTCACTTTGTTTCAAGAAGTATACTTTCCCCTCTGTTCCCTCCAATACACATCTAAGTAACTCAAGACAAAGTCCTTTTCAGGGCCGCACCTTGTTTCCTCTATATATACATTAGACTAATTCAAAACGAAGTCCTTTTCTGGTCTCCGCCCCGAAACCAGCCCACGGTACCCTCAATTTCTGCTCTTCTCCTTTTTGTTTTAGAGCCCAGCTCTTAGGTGCCCGTTTCCGGCTTCAGCGGCGTCGGCGTCGGCGTAATCGTGAGATCACGTGACGCCCGTGACGTCACGTGACCCCGGTGACGTCACGTGACCCCCGTGAGGTCACGTGACCCCAATGACGTCAGTTGACCCCTGCACTTTGCGAGTAATCCGGAAAGCGCAGCATTGCAAGGCAGTCGATCGATTTGGTAGGGAACTATTTAAAACACCTGCCTTCACATTACGTATTTAGTTTCCTAGCTATAGTTTGTCTAAATTTCTCACTTATCCTCTCAAGCATAATTTCAGTGAAGATATCAACTAACTTATGGAAAATCAATGTAGAAGTATACATGTGTGTTCTTTCCCGTAGGTTTGCATTCATAAGACCTACATTTTTTTTCATTGTGCTGCTAGAAGCAAGTGAATAAAGGTTATTTTAAATAATGGGCAAAGCGTTGTCGTCTAAGGTACGATCTTGTAATTTACACCCTGCCTCAGACATGACGGAATATTTGTAGTGTAAAATTACTTAGAAAAGCTTCTTCTTGAATTGAAAGTTATTCGCAAAAAATACTTACTCAAACTTAAAACACCCTCTTTTTGCCGTGGGCCGTTTGGTTAATTAATTATAAAAATAAACAAGAAACATGAGCAAAAAAATAACATGCTTGTTTTTCTTCTGTTGCCTCACGTTAATAAAGTGCCTAATAACGCGACTTCCTTCATATGTTTCTTTTGTAACTCTTACGTGGTCTGATTTGGATCGGATATTTTCACAAAACTAGCCGCCCGTCTTCGGAAAATTAAATTGGCATACATTCAGATGCCGATATTTTATATTTCTTTAAAGTTTAATCCACAACTTCGGCAGTGTATTGGGTGAGTGAAGTTCCTACGTTACAAATTCAAGCGAAGCACACGAATAATCATTCTACTCCAGGAAGCGCTTTGGACAATAGTATTTTTCTTTTATAAATTTGTCATCAGAGAAAATTTCGAACGACCATAATTCGGCGATATACTTGAAGCGTTTTTTTTTTTTTTATACAGGAATTCCTTAGTTTATTTTAATCGCTTAATTCTTTAGAGCCCTAATAAATAATATGAGCATAAGAAATACATTTTTATTGTCCTACAAATATGAGCCGCCCATCACTTGTATACTGCCCTGTTCCATGGCCTTCGAGGTACCAATAAATAAATAAATAACACGAATACTATGATTAACCCTCAACCTGATGTAACCTGTACATAAGCTAATTTGTAAGCTCACCCAGCGTTTAAAGAAACACGTACGTGGAAAATATTGTGTAATAATCAAGAACGGAGAGCTAACGGAGGCTCGATTCGCTGACAGCTTGTTAAATTAACGTCTAGTGCAACATAAATCGCATACCAGTAATCTGCGGTCAGATGCATAGTGAAAAAAGTATAATTAATTAAATCAGTTGCACAAGCAATTGAATAACTTGAGAGATATGATTAGATATTTGAGCCCCGTAAATATTTACGTGCAACAGCAAAAAACTAAAATAAAAAGTAAAGACAAAAATGAAATTAAGTTTTAAATGGAGGCCCATCATAACCATCACGCGTAAGTGAAACGATGAGACAGACCTGCTTTCTATAAATATTATTGCTTGTGATCCTTCCAGCACGTTTTCGGCGATAAATGTTACAGGAATCTTCTCTTTCCAGTTCATAATCCGGTACGTCTCCCGGGCACTTTGGTGCCGTACAGTGGCACAGTGGTCTCTTCACATACATATCCTCAGCCGCAATATAAAAAGGCGGAAACTAAATATGAAATGGCCCGTAACATTCTATTCATTAAGGCGCTTTATATAAAACCAAAAATCTTCGATTTCTGAGTGCAGCAGACATTGGTGCGTCAACAATTCAAATTACATAAATTCAGTGAAGACGTAACAAAGATGAACTATTTTATTCAATACACAGAACCCTTGTTTAGCATTTTCATTCGCTCACTTGCTGAATCATGCTAATGCAAACTATAATTAAATATTTGTGTCGAAGTTAGTTTAATTCATAACCAAACACTATAGAATTCGACAGGCGATGAATCTCGAGAAAGAGTTGGCACATATCCATGAATGCCAGGGCAGTGCATGCGGTCAATGGACAAAAAATGAAAAGAAACAAAAATGTATGGAGCTGACGGCATGGCGATCAGAAATGTAAACTGACACCGAAATATATATAATTTTAATTTTCTGAAAAGTCACTCAATTAATGTTAGCGAAGAAAGAGATTTGGTGGTATCACATGATTTACACAAACATTTCGAGCTCGAGAAAGTGATGTGCTGATGATGGTGACGTGCAACAACAACACACTTGTTAGAGCGTCATCACAAAACAAAGAAAAATCTGAGCCGTTCTTGACGCCACAGCGATGAGAGATGTAACAATAATGGAAGATCTATACAATTAATCACATTACAAAAGTCACGGATGTCAAAGGAGAAATAAAATATACTGCTTTGCAATGTTTGAGAAATTAAAAAGAACAGCTGTCGGAAAATGCATATCACTTGACGCTATTCGAACACAACCCTACCCTGGGGAAAGAGGCACCAATAGCAGAATTTTCTATTGTGTTTTCCCCCCAGAAGTGTTCAAGCTATCGCATGGCGACAGTTGCACGAAATCGAGAGGTTATCCCAGTACGATGTTCTGCGACTGCGCACTGCGACCACGAATTCTCCAGAAGTTCTTCCAGAAGCTGCACTCCTGAAGTCGTGGTCCGGTGTGGACGCTTGCGTTGTGCGCTGACAGGGTAACGTACTGGGGTTTCTCGGCAGAGAAGGTCGGCCAGGATGGCATCATTGATGGCATACTTGGCGTCCTGCGTAAAATCAAACAAAAAGTTACATTATGCTGACGAAGACTGGGAACCTCATGCAATGTTTTTTTTTTCCTTTTTTTTAGGGAAGCATAGTGTGTGTGGGTGTGTGTGACGCCACGTGATGTCATTATGTCACATGAATGGGATGGCGCATGACGTCATGGTGACTCGCGATGTCATGATGTCACGTGATTTAACAGTCCTTCGTAACGGTTCTTCCTGACGGGTGTTTGTGACTGTTTTCTCATAGAAATCGGCTAATAAAACACGTTCAGTGTTCGAATACGCTGTGTTTACAGGACGTTTTCATGTACGATCTCACGGCGGCGCCACCTTGCTTCTGGCGTGTGTAGATCATCTGATCGTTAAGTCCTGCTAAGGTTTCCCATGACAGCCAGACTGCCACCCAAATTAAGCATTTTTCATGCGCGGTGAACAGATTAACATTTCAAGCGACGCTTCTTGCAAACATGTATATACAATGCCTCGCCAAAACACACTTCTCTTGTTTACTCTTTTTGCTCGTTCATAAAGCCTGATTAAATTTGAGGCAGAACTAGAAACATCGACTTCCAAAAATGTTTTCTCGCGAGTACATACATTGAAAGGGCGTCATAAATATTATTTTTAGTCAACTTTTTTGCCACCACTTTTGACTTTTTCAAACTTCTAACGCTAAGTTCGACAAAAGTTCGACTGTAGTTGGACTACTATCTAGTAGCGCGAAAATTTAGAACGAGTTGATGTCGCCTGACAGCGGAAGGCAACAATCCAAGTAAATTATTAAAAGATTAAATGTTTGCTTGTATAATGCGTAAATATTGGATGGGCGTACGACGTGAAGAAATAAGCCTCAAAAGCAGGCTAGCATTTTAAGACTGAAAGAAAAAAATAGAGTGAGCATTATTTTTAAAAAGTTAGTATAATTAGTATAAAAATATTTTAAAAAGCAATATATTGGTGAGCAAGCTGGTGAACACCCTCAAAAGGAAACTATAACGCCAAATCAGACCTTTCGATTGAAATACTGCACATAATAATCGGTTTCCCAAAATCGATAACCTGCATTAAATTATTAATATTTTTTCAAAATAGTGGCTTGGCCGATGTTATGAAGCCAGACGCACTATCGGGTGATTCAAGGAGCGGCCAGGCTCTTTACGTCGACCGCAAAATTCGGTTTCTTAACCGTTCCGATATTGTACAGCGTTGGTCACAGGTGGTGCATTTTTTCTATAAAATTCGCAAAGACTGAGCTTACCTGAGGAAAAAGTAAAAAAAAAAAGAAAAAAGCTTAGGTCCTATGGAAGCGCAGCAAAGCCACCGGTCTTCAAACCATAAAGCGCCCAATGGTTTCAAGACTTTTGGTTTCGCTGCGTTCCCATAGGAGTTAAACCTGTTTCTTTCGTTTTTTTTTTTTTTTTTACTTTTTCCGCAGGTAAGCTCGCTCTTTGCGAATTTATAGAAAAAATGCACCATTTGTGGCCAACGCTGTACAATATCGGAACGCGATAGGTTAAACAACCGAATTTTGCGGTCGATGTAAAGAGCCTGGCCGCTTCTTGATATCACCCAGTAGAACAGCAATATTTTAATCGGTCAATATTCATCCCTTACTGGAATAAGAAACTATTATTAGTTTGAAGCTCTTCAAACAAAAGTGCAGACATACAAAAATGAGGGTATCAAGGTGATCAGATTAACAAACAGCTCGGAGCTAATACCAATGTTATTATTATTTGGATCGAGTGATCAGAACCCAACTTTACTAGGTTAGCAAAGTTACGGAACCGCCCATAGACGCTGCTTGCAGAAGCAGTTCACTCTCCGCCCCCCTCCCCCCCCCCCCCCCCTCGCCTCCCGTCACTTGACGACCAACTTTTCTGGGGGAGGGTTGCTATGGAATCATGGTAAATGCAGTACATGCTATGCAATAGGTATGTTTCGAAGCACAGCGTCTAGATGTCGTTTCAACGTACCATATAGAACACAGTTGTAAGCAAAAGTCATATGGTGCTTCAGACGAGGGGGGGGGAGGACCATAGAGTTATTGTTATGTACTCTAGAGGGTCATAAGGGTCATATGGCGCTAGTGTGCTGTTGCAAATTGAAGCAGACAGCAACTAGTCAAAAACCGACTACCATTAATGCATTTCTATGGGAAAAAGTGAGTGCTTCCTCTCCTCGCGCTCGATTATAAGAGCAAATATCCCCTTTGAAAGTACTATGTAGCTTGGAACATTTCTCAGTCAGGCAGACGATATAATTGGTCTACGGCGTTTTTCTTTCAAATTCATCGCATTAAAAACGGTGCTAAAACGGCTTCGTACAAGTATTTATGGGCACTGTCGGACACTGTTAGCGCAAACAGGACGTCGGCGCTTTTCAGCATGCTGGATGTGCGTGCCAAACGAACGAAGGACATCTGGAAAACTAAGAGACGACAAAAACTACGCAGTAACACTGGATCGGTAACTTTTTGTGCATGCACGATCAAAATAAATTGACGGCCACGTAATATAGTCCGGTTTTCAATATACAAGTGCTGCTTTATTTTTTCTGCTCTGCGAAGATGCTTGTTCTGCGTTCAAAAGCATCACTCGCACGCTATTGATCTTTGAGAGCAACTGCCTCATAAAAGCTGCCCCGCATAAAAAATAATAAAAAGTGACACCTTTCATAGCCCACGTACTATAAGTCTTTACGTTTTGAATGTTTTTAACCGCTCGTAAAGATGCAAGACAGGGTTATTTTCATATAGTGGCAGGACTGGCGTATTAGCAATATATAAGCGTCACCGGAAAGCTGGCGAGCCTTGAGCACACGCTATATTCCTTTCAATTGTTATTTTGATTAGAATCGTTGCTTGTTTTCACACACCTGCTGTGGAATAGAGGTTTGGGCATTAAATATAGGGAAGTTAAACCTCGTTCACTGATGACGAAAAATACACTAACTAAAGCAATCACACCTTTACAATGTTAATAAAGGTAGAGTAATCGGTACGACCCAAATAACAAAAGTATTCCATGTTATTTTCCGGCGAAGAGACAAAATGCTCGTGCGTTTTCTCATAATATGCAGAGGAGCACCGCAAGAGTAGACTGGTTGTTGTCCGCTTCAATTTGCCCCCCGGAAGTCGCACAGCGCATTAGCGCCAGTTGAACCTGTAGTGTACATTATAATAATTTTATGGGGAGGATTGAAAAAAGTGATCGGTGGTAACCCCCCCCCCCCCCCTCCTTCGTGAAAGTTCCAGAACTCAGGTAACCTAGTAACGTTGCCGCACCTCCTAGCGAATTGCTCAAACGGTGATGTAGAGTGTCCTCGAAAAGAGGAGTGGCCGAGTCAGCCCCATCTGTGGGAGAAACAACGAGGCGGTTCGCGAGGAAAGCAACCATCGTGATTAGTGAGCTACGTGCCTCCGCAAGCCTTTCTCAGATGGCGCCATCGTGTCAATAAAACGCTGAAACTGCTGAAACGTGCCTCTGGCCGAGGGATGGGATGTCGTGACTGTTGGTGAAAACGAGGTTCAACTGGTTCGGGGAACCTTCAACTTTTTCCAAGATTCCAGGACGTTCGTCTTTAACACGGAGTCACATTTGTTTGTAAAAAAGAAGAAAACAAATTTCTGTTTTGGAAAAATAATTTATACATAAGAACAATCATGGGGATGTCATGTCTTTTTTATTACATTTTTATGTGAGATAGCAAAACCTTCACACAATTAAAGACACCTTGCCCTTGCAAAACACCTGCTCCTTCTTGAAAACAAAAATCCTGTCTGAGGGGAGGTGGAAACAACAATCTTCCCGATTGCGCGTGGTAGCACCTTTGAGGGGTTATATATCATGCACGCAAACTGACCAGCTAGAGTTATATTAAATTAACTGTATTGAAGTTTAAATTTAAAAAAAAAAACATTAGAAACCTGGCTTCTTGGGCTTTACCATTTTGAAGGAATTTGGTGAATATATAAGGTGTTTTAAAAATACGTTTTCGAGCTGAACGTTTTTGTGCAAAGTATTTCATGCTTTATGAGCTTTTCAAAAAAAAAATATAAGGCGTTGTACACTTATAAGATTTTTTTTTTACATTGCACCCGGATTTTATTGAAAATCAAAAAATTCATAATTATGTAAAGCCTTTGAGGGATTGGGCCCTCAAAGTTGCGTCAACGCGCAATCGGGAAAGTCGTTGTTTCTAGCTCCTCTCAGACGCTTTTTTTTCTCACAAGAACGAAAAAAGTACCTTGCAAGGGCAAGTCATCTTTTGCACTGTGAATGTGCTTTGCTACCTCATATAAAAAATTTAATTGAAAACAAATATAGGCGTGACACCACTATTTCTTATCTGAACACACCCAATTGTCCGTTCTAGTTCTTAAAATATTTACCTAGTCTTACATATTACGATACTAAACGTATAAACTTATAATTATATGGTTTGTCTTTGAATGCGCTCACAAAATACTCGACCAGCACCTCTCTTATGAAACGAAGAACGCCGTACTTCGATTGTCCAGCGACAACTTGACGCAATCACGTTGTTTGGGTTTCGTCTGCTAGCCGATGATGCCGTGGACGTAAGTCAAGACGCATTTTTGTTTTGGCATTTTACTTATACAAAGTAAAACCGAACCCTACATTTTACTGCCTAAGTGGTGTTCGAGATAAGCACAATGGATCCCCTAATACTTGTGTGGTAATGGTAGTGTAATGTGCTCATCTGTCAAAAAGAAAATATTTAGTGCCGTATTTTTCTGACCATAGTCCCAGAAGCAAATTTCGAATGAAAAAACTGTTTTTGTTTTTTATTTAGATTGTTTTCACCGGGTTCATGGTCCGCACCTGCTACTAGTCCGCACGTGAAATATCTTCGTATGCAGCACACATTCAAAGATCCCCTCTTCATTAGCTCACAAGAAAGCTTCTATCATGCAGAAATCATCAGTAACTTGCTCTGTCATTGTCGAAATTGCTCGCCTCGCGTCATATTAA